AATCGGATAAAGCAGACGTTTGCGGATTAAAGTAGATGTTTGCGGATAAAATCAGATAAAACGGTACCGGGTGCCCTGATAGCAAAATTTGATTCTAAGAATCTTCTAAGAAGATACGACTCGGAATAATGGAATATTCTTAGAACCTTCCCTTATTGCTAAGAATGTTCTTAGGGACTTTTAAAACATTCAATAGATACCCTTTTAATGATGCAAGTAGATTCTTAGAAGCTTCTTAAAACCTTCCTAAAAAGCAATCTAAGAACATTTTAAAAATACGTTTTTGGAATGTTCTCAGAAGGTTTCTTATGGAGCTTCTAGGAAGCTTTTGAGAATATTTCCAAATATGTCAGATACCCATGGGTATCTGACATATTTGGAAATATTCTCAAAAGCTTCCTAGAAGCTCCGTGCACGTGCACGTTCTAATATGTTGGATTCTACATTCGTAAAATTCTTCAGGAGGCGACAAATACGCCTCACTGTCATAATATGAAAGTAAAATGTATTCGTCGTCCCCTTAAAAAAATTTGCGACATATTAATATATATTTATTTAAAAATATTAAATAAACAATTTGACCTCTGAACCATAAGTTGTATGACATTATTTCATAAAAAGTAAAATTGGAAAATTTTGTGGGATAAGTCAGATTAGATTGAAGTTGAAGATAGTAGGATTATTATACATAAAAATGTTAATTCAGAAATAAAAAATCGGTATACAAATTAATAAATATTTATTTTTAACATAAAATAAAATACCTATAGTAAAAATATTTTTGTTATCTAATATTGTTTTAATTTGATAAATAACTTTAAAAAATATTTTGGGTTGTTTTTTACTTAGTATTTAATACTAATTACTTTCTCAATATTCTAAGCATATGTTTAGAGTGGATTAATTTTTACCACTAAACTTTGCACCTTCTAAGAACCTGCCTAGAGGCCAGTGAGAATATTCTTAGGATTATGCTATATTTCTTTTAAGCATGTTCTTTAGAAGAAATATAGGATGATCCTAAGAATATTCTCACTGGAAGGTTTAAAAAACATTCTTAGAACATGCCTAGAAGATATATAGCATGATCCTAAGAATATTCTCACTGGAAGGTTTAAAAAACATTCTTAGAACATGACTAGAAGTAATATAGCATGATCCTAAGAATATTCTCACTGGAAGGTTTAAAAAACATTCTTATAAGAATGAATAAAATAGAATAAACTGTGCTATCAGGGTGAATGCAGATATAAACTCAAATACAGGTATTTGCGGATGAAAACAGATAAAAGCAGACATAGATCTAAATAGATAAAACCCGACGTTCGCGGATAATATTTATACCCGCAATTGCAGATAAAAACCGACATGCCGGGTAAAATCAAATATGTCGGATAAAAACAGATATAAATGGACATAAAACTAGCTTGGTTTTTTATCCGCAATCATCCGATATTACCCGTCTTTTTCAGCAGGGTAATATATAATAGAATAATATTATTAAAATAATATTAATATTATTTTGTAAATAAAAACTTGCAACTGTCCCATCCGTTACGCGTTGAATGGAATATCTTTTTTAATTGAACCCGGACAACATTCGTGATATTCAAACGTTTTATAAATTATAACGGTTAAAAGTTACAAGGTTGCAGCCCATGGGCTGATAGTTTAAACTCTTAAGTAGCATATGGTAGAGACCATGATAGAGACCTTGTATATTTTTGACAAAAAACGTCAAAAAAATATAGGGACAGTGTTGCCAACAGTAAAATGTTAAAATTCTTAAAAACCTAAACAAAAATTCACCAAAATTCTCCAATTTTGCCAAAAAAAATCTCCAATACTTTTACTAGGCAAAACAAAGAGGTTTGTATGGACACAAAATGCAAAAAATATAAAACAGTTTATTTCACAGCAAACGGAAAATTATAGAACTGTATAGGATGACTCCGCGTTTGAATATTAAATCTTAAAGTTTTATCACTGTATTGAATCGTGCTTTGTTTTTATATTTTTCGGCTCTATACCTATGCACGACTATATTTAAAGTCAGTTCTGATAAAACTTTAAGATTTAGTATTCAAACGCGGAGTCATCCTATACAGATCTATATTTTTCCGTTTGCTGTGTCGGTAATTTTTGTCCCGCCTGTCACAATTAAAAATTGTGAGTAAAAACCACAAGTTATTAAATTAATATTTTATAAAATTATTTTTATTGTGCTTATAACTTATTAAAAGCATAATAAACAATATTTAAAAATAAATTTTATAACGTGGAGTTTTTACTCACAATTTTTAATTGTGACGGGCGGGACAAAAATCCCCGAGTAACGTGGAATGACCCTATACCGCTGTATCTGATACAGTGTGTCCAGACCCGTTCCTGGCGAGCGTGCAGTGCGTGCACGCACGCAGGCGCAACATTTCGGAGGCGCGAAATCAAAGAGTCAATCAGTACTTTGTAACGATAAACTTTCCTGCATATAAAACTTAATCATACATTGGATAAAGGTTTCCGCCTTTTTTGCGTCGGCCGCTCTTTTTTTCGGTCGTTATAAAGCGCCTTTTGCCGCTTTGATATTGGCGGCTTATTTTGTTTTGATATGAGGATCAAAATAAAAGGAGAGAAATGGTCATATTATTTTTAGTATTTGTTTGATAGTTGCAGTTGACGGTAGCAAAGTTTAACAGTAGTAAATCTCTAAATAGAATTAGTCAAAAATGACTAATTCAATTAGTCTAATTGCTATAGCGAAAACAGCCACTATTAATTATCGTCAATAGCAATTTGTATCCCGGACATTTAGCAGTCAACTTCTATGTAAAATTGTCCGCTGAATCCGAAAATGTCGTCAAAAGTTATAAAATTGTTAATTGCCAATTGCTATAGCGAAAACAGCCACTATTAATTATCGTCAATAGCAATTTGTATCCCGGACATTTAGCAGTCAACTTCTATCTAAAATTGTCCGCTGAATCCGAAAATGTCGTCAAAAGTTATAAAATTATAACGTTTTTGAGATTTAGTAAATTTTCCATATAATATGGAATTGACTATATCTTAAACAATGCTTTACTTTTATAATTTTCGACGGTATTTTTCGGATTCAGCTGTTATATTTCAGCTGTTATATTTCCGGGATACAAATTGCTGTGGACTAAAGTTAATATTTTTTGTGATTTCGTTTGTTTGGTAATTTAATAAATATTTTTTAGTTTGTCGCAAAATATATATTTTTTAAATTTTAGGGCTTAAAATTAAAATATTTAATGTATTATAGTTAAATATAAAAGAGGCGCACCAACGAATGCTGCACGCAGGCGCCAGACACCCCAGGAACACACTCGCGAGTGTGTCGCATTTAAGATGAAGACACCCCCATATTTTCGCTATTTCAAGGAATAGAGATTTGAATTTTTTCACATTCATACATCTTGGTGGGTCACATTTTTTAAGATACTCAACTGAAATCTGAACTTTAAACTTGGCCTACTACGAATTCACAAACGGGGCCAGTTGTCGATATTTTGCTTCGCGTTAGAAATATCGAAAAAACATATTAGAAAAAGTTGTTCAGAATATTATTCTAACCCCGTATACCGATTTTCATAGCAAAATTCGCATTTCTAATTTATTTATTTTTATTAGTTTTATTATTGTTTTATACCATTTTCTTAATTTAATAAAATAGCTACCTAATTTATTTGTAATTTCCAAAAATTGTTTTAATTATTTATTTAACGGTCATAAACACTAGTTAGTATCAAATTATTACTTTCCATGGCTCCCTAGGGAGCCATGGAAAGTAATAATAAGCTTATTATCAAACTAAAAAATGAACTTGTAATAATTTTGTGTGGAACAAAATAAAAAAAAAATTAAAAATGCGAATTTTGTTATAAAAATTGGTATATGGGGTTAGAATAATATTCTGAACAACTTTTTCCAATAACTTTTTTCGATATCTCTAACGCGAAGCAAAATATCGAGAACTGGCCCTGTTTGTGAATTTGTAGTAGGCCAAGTTTAAAGTTCAGATTTCAGTTGAGTAGCTTAAAAAATGTGACCCATCAACACGCGTGTGAATGTGAAAAAATTCAAACCTTTATTCCTTCAAATAGCGAAAATATGGGGGTGTCTTCATCTTAAGTGCGACACACTGTACATGATATGTAATACATATTACACTTTATGTTCTGTGATTACACTAATAGTGTCTTCTGTTCTCATGTTCTGTTCTGATGGTGGCATAGATTAATAACTTTAATGGATGGTGGAGTCACATATTTTTTTAAATATGTGGATGGAGCTTTTTATGCAAAGGTCCGACCTGTAAATTCTTGCACAACGCACCCAACCAAAACTTTCAATATTTTTTATTCTGTATTTTAATTCACCTATCCCATAAAACGGACTTTTGGATAGCGCGTGCGTGAAAAGGCAGGTCGTTTTTTTTTAATTACATAAAAGGGAAAGAGATACCACTCTTCTTCAGGCACGCGCTATCCAAAAGTCTGTTTTATGGGATAGGTCTATTATTAAAAATTCGCTAAAAACTCTCCGATGCATCTGTAAATTCTCCATGTTTGAGACTATCGCTCATAGAAAAAGGATATCGCTATAGATATATCTAACTTGAAAACTCTGTGTTGAAAACTCTCAACCAAGAACAAAAAAACACCAGAAATGGTGAAAAATTCTCCAAGATGGCAACACTGTATAGGGACTTTAGCATAAGGAAATGAATAGGGAAATTTATAATAGACCTATCCCATAAAACAGACTTTTGGATAGCGCGTGCCTGAAGAAGAGTGGTATCTCTTTCTCTTTTATATAATTAAAAAAAGACGACGTGCCTTTTCACGCACGCGCTATCCAAAAGTCCGTTTTATGGGATAGGTCTATAGCAATAGGGAATTTTTACATCACTGAATAGGGATTTATTTTTTACCCATCTGGCAACACTGATTTAAAGTAAAAATATGGGGGATTTGGATTTATTACTAGTGTCAACCAATTTGACAGTTTAAATGACACGATGTCGTCTGTGACGGTATGTAAATAAAAGTTTATTGTAAAAAACCAGATAATATTAGTTTTTTGTAGATGCCGTTACTGGATGATGATACAATAGCATTTGGAGAGGAAGAAAACCATGAAAAAAATAAAGGATCGTTAACGTATAATAATTTATATAATTTTTGATTAAAATATGTTTATATTTTTAATTTTTAGGCATCCATATGTAACTTTCTTTCATTTGGCTTTTAGAGGCACTTCGATAGTTGTTTATATGTTATGTGGTTGGTTTAGTAAAAGTTTTATAGCCAGTTTTGTAACTGTCATATTATTATTATCAATGGATTTCTGGACTGTGAAAAACATAACTGGCAGGTTAATGGTTGGTTTACGATGGTGGAATTACATTGATGAAGAAGGAGTCTCACATTGGGTTTTTGAATCAAGAAAGGTTCTAACTTATTTTTTTACATACACTGCAATTTAATCTTATTATACATTTGATATTGTTTGTTTGGTATTCTAAAGCGGTATACTTATAAATAATATAGTTTTCAAAAATAAAATTAATCAGAAATGCTTAATCATGTATTAACAATGAAATCTATCTCTGAATTTATATTAATATTTTTTTTATAAGGTCAAACAATGACCTCGTAAAAATTAACGGTTTTTGGTGATTTTTTTTTTGGTATATAATAATAATTATATGGAAACAAACTATAAAGCATCAAATAGGATATGTTTTGAAGTATTCGGTCCTTGCCCTGAAACTCCTTTTTTTACAAGTGTTCTCGGTGAGCATGAAATATCAAAAACCGCTCAACAGATCTTAACGAAAAAAAAAACCGATATAAGTACATAGTATCACCCCCTTTGTAAACAAAGGGTTTTGCAAAAAAAAAATATTCGCGCAAATGGCGGTGAAAAAATCTTGGGAACAAAAAATTTACTTCCTAATGAAATGAAGGAGCTATATATTGTAATTAGGAACAGCAAATCGATCGGTAAATTGTTTTTCGAGAAATCGCGCTCACGGCAACGGCACTTTTAAAAAAATACCATTCCGTGATAAACGCGTTTAAAATTTAAGTTTATTCAATTTGCCTTTAAATGTTCGTGAGGTAGCGCGCTATAAATTGCTATAACATAAGTTCTAGTGTTCTGATCTTGATGAAATTTTGAATACATATTCTTAAAAGTATATGTTGTAAGAATATTTAATAAAAAAATCGATTTTTTGACCCATCAAAAATGTATGTAAACCCTTAAGAAACTCTAAAATAGAAGGTTTTTTGTTTTTCTTAAAGTGACTGTGTATTTTAGTGATAATGTTAAACGTATAAGTTTCTTGAACACTTTTGCAAATTGATATATTACAACAAAAATTTACTTATTTACCTAATTACAGCAAAATATTAATAAAAATTGGCGCTCAGAGGAACGGGACTTAAGCATCCAAAAATAAATTTTTGGATTATCTAAAGTCAAAAATAATTTGCATGTAACAATGTGTTAAACATTCTATGTTTGTGCTGCCGTCTAGCATGCCAGGTATTTCTTTTCTTTAAAATTATGATTATAATAAATTGAAATTATGACCATTATAGATTTATGAAATACTCCTTTTTAATTATTTGAAGTTGAAAATAATTTTTCTTAAGTCTTTTGTATGTAATAACGCGTTAAAGATTTCTTTTCTCGGAGCGGTCACAAGTTTTAAAATGTTAAAATTTTTATTTATATGTGGGTGGGGGGTTTAGTGATTTTATTACCTTGAAATTTTGACACTTAGTGTTTATTTATTTATTCTTTTATTTATATAAAATAATTTAATAAATACTGAATCTATATTTGACCCTTTTTAGGGTACACAGAATCGAATAAATGATAGAGAAGCTAATATTTTTTGGACAGCATTAGTATTGACTCCATTTTTATGGGGTATATTTTTCATTATTGCACTTTTTGGATTAAAATTAGAGTGGTTGGTATGTGTTAAATAAAACAAAAATAAACAGTAGTTTTATAATTAATTATGATTTTAGTTATTGGTTTTAATTGCTTTGGTCCTCAATTTTGCAAACTTATATGGGTATATAAAATGTAAAGTTGGAAATTCAGACAGTCTAAGTACTGTTACACAAGATTTCTTTAGGAAACAATTATTTCAAAATGCAGTATCAATGGTTGCTCGCCAAGCAGCAGCCCCACCATCAAATCCTTTAAGTCAGCCATCAAATACCATTTAAAAACATTGCCAATAATTTATGTATACTTTTGTGATAATATAATTTATGTATTAGTCCCTAATTTTTATTTAAAATAATTTAATAAAAGGTTTATTTAAGAAAGTTATTATTTTAGATCTGAGGCTTTCACAGCAACATTTATGGAGAAAAAGTACATTTTCGGGTTTATACCATGTTGGTTTTTACTGAAGATGTCTTTGGCATTAGGAGACGAAACGCCAGATAGACATATTCACCCAAGAAGGTCTAAACCCGAAAATGTACTTTTTCTAAATGTTATTATTATTTAAGTCGGGCAGTTTATTTTTACTTAGGCCCGTTTGATTTTTTAAGCCTTAATTGATCAAAGAGCGAAGTTCAGCATTAGCTGCTCTTCCATTTAACCCTGGACGGATTATTTATTCGTGTCTGTCGACGGTAGCTGCAGTAGGTAAGTAACATACAAGTCAAGTTGAATACGTCTTATATTTACGCTTGCATAGAAAGCAATGCATTATGTTCTCATTATAAAATAAATATATAATTTTTATAAGAAAAAGACTAAATATTTAGCAATCTTTATTAATAAATTTATAAATATGTAAAGTAAAAAACATTTTTGGGAATTACAAATAATATTGGATAAATTATGCATAATTAATTACTTTTTTCGGTTGCCATGTTTTTTTCTGCATACAACTGAAATGATCCTACTACGCATGCTCAGAACGAGACGTTAGTGACATGTCACGGTGGACTGACACGGCCTGTGTTTACTGGGCCGGCCAGCCGCGACCGGTCAAAGAAATTCTAAAAATACAACGACTTACGAATATTCCATCCCTTATAATTTTACAAAAACAATTGTAATTTTTATCAGTTTATTTACGAAATAATAAATTTTAAATATTTATTTTAAAATTGTATTAGGTATTATAACTAGTTTATTTGTCACAAAAGCACTTTTTCTCCCAGCCCTGCTTAAAATACCCCATAGAGACCCTGTTCAAACCGATAGATATTTGTATCGGGATGTATGGTGTTTCTATAGGGTGTATCGGTTTGTATAGGACCCGTAGTTGAGATTTATGGTTGTTCTATAGGGATATCCACCATTGATTTATTTGCTATCGGTTTCAATGGGGAAAATACACATAAATGTAGAAATTAGTTTTTTCCCTATAGGACCCTATAGGTTTTAATAAAATTTTGTCAAATATTTTATGGTTGCTCTATAGGGATATCCCTATATATATATTGTAAATCAAGAAAAAACCGGCTGTATTTTATTTAAAAAGACCCAAGATCGAATGGAGACACCTCAGTATATTAATTTAAATAATAAAATAATATATTTTTCACCGCAAACGAAGTTTTTGGGATTATACATTGATGAGTTTTTGAATTGGTCCTATCAGATTGAACATCTATGTAAAAAATTAAATCAAGTCTCTTACTTTATCCGTGTATTAAGTACTTATGTTGAAAAAAATACATTAAAAACAGTGTATTTTGCTTGTTTTCAATCTTTGTTGCGATATGGAATAATATTTTGGGGACGTTGTACGACAGTTGAAAGAGTTTTTACCATTCAAAAAAGAATGGTGCGAGTATTATGTAATAAGAAATATAAAGACACATGTAGAGGACTTTTCAAATCAAACGAACTACTGACAGTTGCAGGAATTTATATTTATGAATTGCTAATTTTTATGTTTAAAAATAGAACCAAATTTGAGTACCTGAAATCTAAAAGTAGTAGATCTTTAGATTATATTTATCCGAGACATCGTTTAATGAGTTATGAAAAATCTTGTTTTTATTCATGTATAAAATGTTTTAACAAATTACCTTATAGCATTAAGTCATTAAATACTTTTAGTCTTTTTAAAAAACGTGTTTTTGAATATTTGTTGTCAATTGAGCCGTACACTTTCAATGAGTTTTTACTTCATTAAATTATTTTCGCCCTTTTAATGTTATAATATAGGTAATTTATTATTTGTATTGTAATTTTTTTGTTTAAATAGTGCTGAATTTGACATATATTTCTTTTAATTGTTGTAAATTTATATGTATTAAATGTATAACATTACTTTGAAATAAATATTATTATTATTATTATTATTATCCTTCATTGAGTTATTTTCTATCGGTCTCAATAGGGAAAATGTAAAAGTTATGGTGTGCCTATAGGTAATTTCCTATACATTTTCTATCGGGCTGTATCCGGAAAAACCCATGGACAAATGCACATATAGAATCCGGTAGCGCCCGCGGGATAGATTATTTTGTATAGGTCTCTATGGGGTATTTTAAGCAGGGAGGCCAATTATTTCGAAAACTAAAAGTGACATTTAAATTTTGTAAGCGCCAGTTTTTAGCCTCTATGATTGGCTTTACAACTAGAGGTAGCGATATTATCGATAGTCTATCGATAGTTTCGATATTTTAAAAACTATCCAATTATCGATTCTATCGATAGTTACAAACTATCGTCTAGCGATAGTAGAATCAAACAAAATTATTATAACTGTCGTTGTTTTTTATTCGAAATTTGACGTCATTAAAAATTTGGGGTTTTAGTTGGCAAAATCTAGGGACCCTAGATTTACCAACGGTAAACTGTCTCAAATATGAGCTGTCAATTATTTTATTGTTGATGTTTTGAAACTCGATAGTTATTATAGATTTTGATATAAAGGTTTTAATAACTAAGGTAGATATTTATATTGAAATACTTTACCATGGAGCCTACACAAGGAGCCCGAACTTAATAGGGGAAATTGACAAAACCCTCTAAATTGCACAAATTAAGTCTTTTCACCACCAGCGGCGCTGATTGTCGATACGTACTGACGTCTGCTCTTTTGGTAGCGTTTTGGTACAAATAAGTCAATTGTTTCAGAATAAACGGAACACCAGCGCCCTCTTATCTTAGATTCTTGTTTACATAAAGTTCGGACTCCTTGTGCTATACTATATTTTTGACTCTCCTGTATTTGGTAGGTTGAAAATGTGCCTACTATAAAAATAAACCCCACTGAGAAAAAAATATAGTAACCACTATCAAAAAAATATTAACGTACAATAAAAAAAATAATGAAATAGGGGACAAGAATAAAAAATATTCACCACCAATAAAATCATATAATGACTTTCTTTGCTGGTGGTTACTAAATATTTAATAACCTTTAATATTTTTTATTATGTAACTACAAATAAAAATTTTGCTTAACAATAATATTCATGATTATTAACGTTTATTATAATCATTTTTACGAGCCAATAACTTGCCATATTTATGGCAATTAAAAAATGTAATAATGCTTACTACACTTATAATGCTGTATACTAAAAAGTGTAATAACGTTTGATAAAACGAGTATTAATGCTTAATAAATTATATAATAGTGCTTAATAAAACGTATATTAATGCTTAATAAACCCCATAATGGTGCTTAATAAAACATATAATACTGTTTAATAAAACTTTAATAATGCTTAATAAACCATATAATGATATTTAATAAAACTTTTATAATGTTTAATAAACCCTATAATAATGTTTAATAAAATTTTAATAATGCTTAATAAACCCTATAATACCGTTTAATAAAAGTTTTACTTACCTTTACTGTAATGTATATTATATTGTCTAAGGTCCAAATATACAGTATATCTGGACCTTAGACAAAGGGTATTAGTTTCACTTGTATTTAAATTTAGTAGTGTGTATATATACTCTCTAAAAAATTTAAAAAGCGGACTTAATACCCTTGAAATTACATTATTTTTCTTACTTTTTAATATTCCTTTTAGAAGGTATGTAAAAAAAATACATATTTATGAATAATTTTTATTAAATAATAATAAAAAAATAATAAATACATTTTAAACATAAATTATAGCTTTAGAAAACGTATACGTTTTTAAAGTAAACTAAATATTTTTACTGGGTAAAATAGTGTTTTATAATATAGGTACCTACTCGTTGATATACATAATCTATAAAAATAACGTTATTTTATACCTATTCTTAATGTTTTAAAAGGTGTAAAAAATATTTAATTTATGTTAAAAACTTAAGATGGATTTAAGTAATAAAAAAACAAAACATACCATGTTACACATAGATAATAAACATAAATTTAAACATAAATAAATAATTGTTTAAAACATAAAAGAGCACTTTTAAAAAAACATAATTATAATATTTGTGATAACAAAATAAAATAAACCTATTATTCTTCTTTAAAAACGATATTATTATATAATATAAAGGTATACCTACAATATACATTACAATATACATTACAATGAAAATCATTAACTGAAATATTTGAAACCTTGCAAATATTTGCAAATCCCGGTAAAATAGAATAAACCGAAATTAAACTGTTTTTTAAAAACGATACATTATGTTGAAACAGTGGCGGCTGGTGGATTTTATGTATACCAATATCTCAGTTATTAGACATGGGACCCACACCAAATTTATAATAGTTTATAATGACATTAAATAAACAAGTTCGGCGCAAACAGAATTTAAATTGAAGTTTGCGAAAAAAAGTTTGTTTTTCCTGTCGCCTTACCCGCCTCCAGGCCCCCCTATTTGAGATAATTCAAATTAAAGTGGTGCAATTTATTATCTACTATAATTTATCGACAAATTTAAAATTTTATTTAAAAAATCTAAATATTACAGATTTTTTTCTATTTTAAATTTTTATTATTTATTTTATTAAAATAAAAAAATATTTAAAATGGTATAAAACCTGTAATATATGTATTTTTTAAATAAAATTTTAAATTTGTCGATAAATTATAGTAGATAATAAATTGCACCACTTTAATTTGAATTATCTTAAATAGGGGGGCCTGGAGGCGGGTGAGGCGACAGGAAAAACTAACTTTTTTTCGCAAACTTCAATTTAAATTCTGTTTGCGCCGAACTTGTCTATTTAATGTTGGTATACCTACCCAAAATCCACCTGCCGCCACTGTGTTGAAATCCTTTTTTATAAAATATTCTATAAGCAAATTTTAGCTGATGTTTAATGGCCATCTAACAAAAATTTTTAATTAGGCCTTTATTGTAGAGAATTT